GGAGAGAGAGAGAGAGAGAGAGAGGGGGGGGAATCCGAACATACCTCAAGAATGGGACAGTCAATCGTCGCCACTGCCGAATGGAGAGCACCGTTCGAAGTCGAAGTTGCTTTCCTTCGAACCCTCTCTCTTCTCCCTCTCTTCTACTAGGTTTTGCAGCTTACAAATCTGATGTTCCAGAAGCCAAAAGAAAAAATTAGTAGAGCCTATTTTGGGGTTTCTTTTGCCGCCCAATTTTCCCTCCGAAATCGGTGATAGAATTATTATTGACAAGGAAATTGGTTTCTCAACAAATGATATAAAAATATTAAAAATTATTGGTGACGAAAATATATTCGTCATTAATAATTTTATAATTGGTGACAAATTGTTTTCTCACTAAAAATCTCAAAAATTTGGCACCATTAAAAAAAAAGCAGAAAAATATTTAGTGACAAAAAAAAATAAAAATAATGACGAAAAAAAATTTCGTCACCTAATTTTTTTATTATCTATGTAGATTAGTGACGGAATTTTATTTTTCTCTCTAAAAATAGTACATTTGGAGACGAAATATTATTTTCTTCACTAAAGGTACGTTTTTCGTGACAAAATTTATTTTCGTCATTAGTTTTCGTCTCCAAAGACTCTTTTTGTTGTAGTGATAGATGCACTTGAAAAGCTTCCTGTTTTGTGATGACATTGAATGTTAGGCTTTTAAAAGTGCCGGCTCCCAATAATTTAGAGTGTTTGGACGGATGGTAGACTGGAAATAGTCCTAAACTTGGTCATAATATGGACAAAGTGGCTGCTTTTAAAACTCAACCCTATATGCATGTGTCATTTTTGATAAGTACTTTAATTTTGCATATTTAACCAGATCTGTTATTTAATAGGCAACTTAATGCTTTCACAGTGGTCTTTGTAAGATTAAAAGTTCTCTTTTAAGTCACAGTTTCTTTTCCCTTTTCACTTCTATGAATTTATGCATTTGAAATACCTAGAATTTATTAGATTTGAAATCCATTGATGCCAAGTTTTAGCTGGTAATCTTTCTTATAGAACATCAAAACTTGAGTCTAATATTTTGGAATTTGTTTTAGAACAATTTCTTAGTTTTTTATCATTTAATTCCCGGTGAAATTTTAGTCTATGTTGTGTTTCTGCTGCACACATCAACAGAAAGCTCATGAAACTTAGTTTTGTAGGTCAAGTGACAGAGTTTGATAGTCCAGCAAGGTTGTTAGATGACAAGTCTTCCATGTTTCTTAAGTTGGTGTCAGAGTACTCATCTAGATCAACTAGTGCTCTTTGCATAACCATTTAGCCTTGTTTTATAGATGGAATCCTTCAATAATAGCTTGGTTCTTTCTTTCCTTTGATCAATTGAATTTCCAAATTCTAGGGCGTATTTGGTTTCTATTTTAGTCAACGGACACTTCACCCCTCAAGAATTCAAGTTTCTTTTTTCATCAAAAATTGAGTATATATATATTTATTTATTTCTCAGTATGTATTTCTGGGTAATATGAAGTGTATTGAGTGAGAATTAGCTTCTTGTTGTAGTAGATGTATTGGTTAAATTATCCATTTTAGTGCTAAATCTGATTCTCTGGCCATTTCTATTGTTGTTTGTTATGTTTAGCCATTTGTTTATTTTGGGTACTTGGAACTTTAACTTGTTTATAAAATACTCTCTTTGGTTTATTTTTCTGTCACTAGTTTGCTTTTTTAAGTGTGCTATTGATGTGTAAGTAATGGCTTTGTGACATTCATTTCAAAGGTTGTTTCTTGTAGTGATTGATTTATCTTAATCTATTATGGTTTAATAGCAAGGGAGGGTGATAACAGCTGACTATTTGCAAACAAATTGTGCTCTAGGTAGTAATGTTAATGTCTGCCCTTTTTGTAAAAGTGAAGTTGAATCTAGCAACCATGTTCTGTTACTGTGCTCTAGTTATGATTATGTTTACAATTGCTCCATAGGCAATGTCATTTTGGGTTTGGATTGTATTGGAGAGCTTTTGAAGAGTATAAATGGTAGAACAGAATTTTGGCTACTGTTATCAGATTAATTTTTTTTTTTTTAATAAATAATCTATACATAATTGAACAAAAATCAATTAGTCAGATAATCCGAGTGCTATGGCTTGGGTATGGGTATGGCCAGGGGCCATGCTGACATGGTATGTGCAAAATGTCCATGTCTAGAGCTGTTTACTAATTAATTTATTTGCAAGGAAGCATAGTACTACAGAATAACGTACATGATACCCGCATAATCATGTTTAAGTTGACAAATATTTTCAAAACCATACTCTTTCTCTATGTGATGGTTTGGGAAAATGGACTTGCCTAGCCCACAGGTTGTCGATGCCAGCAGGTTGTGGCCAAAGCAGCATGGTAATGCCAAAATCTGGGTGTCAACGTGCCTAGAAGCTCTGGTCGGGCTTCAAAGTAGTCACCAATGTCCCCTCATGGGATATATATAGACCAGGTTCAAATGCTCTCCTCATCTAGAAAAATTTCTCAACTCTCTCAGGATCAAGCACCCCATGAATGAACTTAGTAACAAAGTACAAGGCTATATTAGCCCAGGTTTAGAATGCAGAGCCACCACTGCCCTCACGGGCACGCCACACCGCCTTGAATTAGTGTAGTATCAAGGGCAAAGCTATATATTAGCCCAAGGTTCATCTCTAAATATGTTTGTCTGTTACAGGACTTGAATATTTCACCAGATTCAATACTGCAGAATGTAGATGAGTAGACAGTTCATAGTCTCAATGGATGCAGAGTGACTGATCAAATTTTGCGTTTGGTCCCAAATATTCAGGTTGTTATTGAATATTTTTGTTCATAAATTTGGCTTTTTGTATGTGTTGCTGGTTGTGTTTATTTTTATCATGGTCAGAGCTTTCGTACTACACTGAGATGTGTGACACTCTGGGCAAAGCGACGTGGGGTTTATTCAAATGTGAGGATGCTCTTTCATTCTTAATGTTTCTTTGTTCTTGCTGCTGTGTCTCATTTCTGACTACATATGCTGTGTGATTCTCTATCACAATCAGGTTTCAAGGTTTCTTGGTGGTATCAATTGGGCGTTACTTGTTGCTCGTATATGCCAACGTTACACATGGTGTATCATGTACATTGATGAATAAATTTCATTAAATATTATTATAATTAGTGATGTGTAAAATATGTGGTGCATCTGCCATCACTGGGGGATTTAGTTTAGTAATTACAATCAGGTTTCAAGGTTTCTTGGTGGTATCAATTGGGCATTACTTGTTGCTCGTATATGCCAACGTTACACATGGTGTATCATGTACATTGATGAATAAATTTCATTAAATATTATTATAATTAGTGATGTGTAAAATATGTGGTGCATCTGCCATCACTGGGGTTTCTCTAGCCGACGGAAAAAAAAGCACATCAATTATTGAGATTTATTCCTCGGATGCGCTAACATGATACATATTCATTGTAGTACTTGATTCTGTTCTTATCATGTGTTGGTTGGATCTCATTTTTTTTAATTGTTGAGATTTACTAATATGTTATTGCTTGTTTAGGTCTCCGATAATTTACTTCATGATGCTAGTAGCAATCAAGAAACTTTAATCTTTTGTTCTCAAACCCTCAGAAGCAAGGTAATCTGATTCTCCGGCTATTCATTATCTGTGCATTTGTGATTTGTACCAAAGGTTACTGCTATATAATGCTATTCACCTGTGAATATGTCTTTTGATTTGCATTTATTATAGGTTTTGGTATATCAAGGTAGCCTTTCTTTTCACATATCATAGTGCATTTTGCTTGTGATGGACAGGTACAACGAGATTTTGAAGAGCTGTCTTCTGAAGCTTTTCGCCCGTTACGGGATTTATTAAATGTAAGAATATTTATAGGTTTTACACTTTTATGAGGTTCTCATTCAGAATTTGGCATGAGTTATCATATGATTTGCTGGTAGTGCCATTTCTATCAATAATTTCATTATTTACTGGGGGAGCCTTGGGATCTACATGTTTGCTAATTGAAAGGGGCAAATGCTATACCATAGTTAGTGGGAACTGAAAGTTATGCTTTACATAGATTCTTTATAAGCTTAGCTTGTTCTTCCATCCTTTTCTTTCTTGATAAATCTGCAACAGTGTTCTTTCTTATGCACTATAAAGACGTGTGAGGATTGTAGATGGGCAGTTTGTAACTTTGTATTTTGAATCCTAATATCTTGAACAAGATCCTGCAATCTGAAAAAAAATACGCCAACGTTGGTGTACCTAGTGCCCCCTTTCCCTCACTGTTTCTTTCCCTAATTTTCCACTGTTCGTAGTGTAAATAAGTTTTGTCTATATGCTGCTGTTTCTGTTTAGTGCATGTAAACTTGTTTTCTTGCAATTGTGTGCATATGTTGATTCATGTTTGTGATGCAAAAGAGTTTCTTTGACTGATTACCAGCTTTCACATGGTTGTAAATGCAGAGCTTATTGAAAACATTTCACAAAGGCCCCCCCTAAAGTTAGAACCCAGGTATTGTTGTTTTCTCTGTACAACCACTTACACTCTTGTGCGCGCACACACAACTTGGAATGTAAGTACAAAGATATGTCCAGCTAAAATTTGTCACCTTTTAGATTAGCCTTGCTGTGGCTGTATTGGCTGTTCATGTTCCTGCTAAAGATTGGGGTGATGGTGGCATTGTAAATTAGCTTAGAGATGAGATGAATTCTCACCCTGAATGCATACCAAGCTTCCTCGAGCTATTAAGAGTTTTGCCTGAGGTATACTCAATTCTGTTCAGAAGAAATATTTAATTTGAAATCAAGCTTTGTCTGTCGATGAGATCATAAAAGGGATGGCGTCATTGGGCCTTAGGTAGATATGTTATTGGGTGCTACTACTTATCTTGGGGATTTGACTGTGGCTTAAAGAACTCATTTTGGAACAAAATAAACTTCAAGTTAGGAAATTGTGTAAATGAGAAGTTTGGCAATGCTGATGCATATGTGCACTTCAAACTGTCTTTGAAACAAATTTAATACCTATGATATTTCATGTTAAGATGTTTTTTTTGTGTCCCCACGTCTAATGTGTCCAATTCCTCCAGCTTATCCGACATGTGTTCAGGGCATGTTCATGTCTAACAAGTGTCCGACATCGTGACCGCCATAGCGGTGTCCATGCTTCATAAGCTAAGAAGCACGGCATAAACACTACACAGATGTGTCGACAGGAATATTATCAGACAATGTCGGACATGACACGTGGATGACACACAAAAATATATAGATTTGAATATTTATTATATATTATATATAGTGTAAGCAATTATTATATGTTATGTATATGAATATTTAATTATTTTTTTACAACAAAATGCAATGCAACACTAATTTTCAAAGTCTGAAGGATGAGAATAGGCATAAATTTATATATATTTTTTTTATCATTATATTCCAAATTATTTTATTCTCTCTCTCTCTCTCTCTCTCTCTCTATGCATATGTCTGTGTTACTCTTGGGAAACTGAAAGCTTTGTGATTGGGTATTTTTGGCTGTTCATGTGGATGTTCTAAATTCTTATGTGATTATGATATCCATTTTGCACAACTTCCCCACCCTAGTTTACATGATAGAACTCTCATAACTGGTTTGAATATCTGTTTGTTTCAGGATCCCTGCTTCTACACTTGCTTCTCACCCATTGGTGCTAACAGCTCTCTCTAGCTTGAATTCTGATATCCTTTCAGAGGCATCCGTGAATGGTACAATGATTGACACAAACTAATTTTTATATATGGTCGCACTATGATAGATTTTTCAACCATTCAAGTTTAATGAAGTTGTGTTAATGGAATTGGATGATTCAGTTATATAATCATCATTTTGGTGAAGATGATTGATGACTTGATGAAGCTGAAGAGAGCTGTGGATGAAGTTATTTTCAGAGAATTTGGAGAGCACACTGAATATTATTATTTTTATGATTTTGTATTGTCATATTGTATTTAAAGGGGTTTTATAAGTTTTTTAAGTTTTTTCATTTTTTAATATATGTAAGCACAGATAATTTTTTTTATTTAATTCCTTTGTATATAGTTTTGAATATTTAATTTCCATTTATGAAATATATGACGTTATTCTATTCAATATGTGGTTATGATTCAAAACATAGTATATAGTGTGTATTACATTATTCAAATGTGCATACAAAAATAATATTAATTATTTTTCAAATATGTAGCACATTTTTTTTATCACAGATTTTATTAGTTATTAATCACACTTAAAAGATGTGATGTAAATATTTTTAATCACACTTAAAAGGTGTGATCTAAAGTTTTTAACCACACTTAAAAAGTGTGATCTAAATATTATTAATCACACTTAAAAGATGTGATGTAAATATTTTTAATCACACTTAAAAGGTGTGATGAAAGCATTTTTTAATGACACTTAAAAAGTGTGATTAAAAATGACCATTTTTAATCACACTCCTAAAGACCACACTTTAATAAAACTTAAAAGGTGTGATTAAAAAACATACATCACACCAAAAAAGTGTGATCTTTATCTATATTTATAGTAGTGGTTGTTTACTTCTCTGTGACTTTGGTTTGTTGTACTGATCTTATTTTTCAAAATTTTGACATAAATGAAGAGGAAAAAATTCCTCGTGTTTTGAAAAATTTGGTTGATTATGAGGAGGAGAGGCATGTTAAGCCCTGTACAGATGAAATCGTATCAATTAACATGGGTACTGAGGAGGATCCTCGTTTGGTCCAGATCGGGTCCATGTTGTCTTTGGGGGAACGCGAGCGTTTAATCGCTTTATTAAAATATTTCAAAGGTGTTTTCGAGTGGTCCTACGAGGACATGCCTGGAATCGATCCTGAGATTGTAGAGCACCGGATCCCTCTTGACCTTGAGGCCCGGCCAATTAAGCAAAAGCTGCGCAGAGTTCGCCTAGATTGGGCTTTGAAGATCAAGGAAGAAGTTTCCAAACAGATCGAGGCAGGGTTCTTGCTTGTATCTAAGTATCCGATGTGGCTGATTAATATTGTTCCAGTCCCAAAGAAAAATGATAGAATTAGAGTTTGTGTCGACTTCAGGGATCTGAATAAGGCTAATCCGAATGATGATTTTCATTGTCGCATATTGATGAGTTAGTAGACTTCACTGTGGGCCATGCATTGCTCTCATTCATGTATGGATTTTTCGGGTATAACCAGATTCTGATGGCACCCGAGGATAGGGAGAAGACCGCTTTCACTACTCCGTGGGGCATCTATTGCTATTGGGTCGTGCCGTTTGGGTTGAAGAATGCTGGGGCCACTTATCAAAGAGCTGTAACTACCATTCTGCACGACATGATCCACAAAGAGGTTAAGGTATATGTGGACGCTTTTGCTTTTTGTGTTGGTGTACTTTCCGAATCTCTCTCGATGCATGTCGTCTCATGTACCTTTAATTTCATGTTTTTAATGAAATTTTTCTTTACTGATAAAAAAAAAAAAAAACTTGGAAATTGTCTCTCAGCTCTCCCTCTTTCTTTATTAAATGATTGTCATTGTATCTTCGCATGATCATTATCAATAAATTTTCTTTCTTCGCTACTTCAAAAAAAAAAAAATCTCTAATGAAACT